GGGCAGGAAACCAGCTGTGATGCAAGCCACCAAGTTGTCCCCAAATAAGGAGCACTGGAATATTTCCCCACCTTGAAAGAACCTCACAAATAATGCCAACCGAGGTCTTATATTGCCACGTTCACTCACTGGCTGCGCCTTCCTCCCCAAGCACAAGCTTGCAGCAGTACAGGGGTATCCAGAGCCCAGGCTCTGCCTCACTGATCCTCCCCAGCCAGCTGCCCTGGCCCACCAGACCCCTTCCTGGTGGTGCCATCATCCCCAGCCTTGCCGGAGGGCACCCTCTGGGGCTCCCCAACCGCTGTGCTGTCACAGGCACAGCATGGCAGGGCTCCAGCTGGAATGAGAGCTTCTCTCTGCTGCTAGAATTATGAGTTAGCAGCACCATGAATAGCCTTCCAGCAGCTTCCATGCTCTGGGAAGTTATATTGTTTGAGTCCCTCCAACGCTAACAGATTTTCCTGTTAGAAGACAGAATTCTAGCGTTCCCTGAGCTGATGCTGAGGTGAAATCAAAGCAAGAGAGGTTGTTTCCTTAACTGAGCAGGCTCCAGCCACATCCCTGAACGCTTTGTTCCCAACCCCTGCTTCTGAGCTGTGCACGCTTGGAAATACAGTCTCAGTTTTCCTCCCTTTCCCCCCCCAAGAAGGGCATTTGTTTGTTAAACAGCGTGGGTCAGGCAACACACAGAAGGCAGGTAGCAGCAGAAGTTGTCTACTAGCCAGTATCAGGACACAGACACAGGCTTCTGACTTTTGGAGCAAGCCAGAACCAAAGCTGGGCCAGGCTCCTGGTCACTCCTTGATCTCCTCTACCAGTTAATGCCAAATGAACACAGTGCAGCTGCAGTGCCCAGGGTCCACAAGTCAAAGCTACAGCAGAGACAAGAAAGGCTTCCTAAGGCAGTTCCTGAACATGCTGCTTGTACAGGACCAGCACTACTGTCTAGCATCAGCATCCACACAGCCGTGCAGGCCTGCAGTAAGTCATGGGCACCACTTTAGATGGCCTCAAACACCTAGTGTTATTCTGTGCACTCCATGCATCTTGCTTGGGTTTTGATCGAGGTAGTGACTCCCCAGGAGATGATCCTGCAGCCCAGACACCTCACTGCAGTGCTTTGCCCAGTGCTCAGCATCCCTGGGTACAGACCCAGCTCTTCATCCACTCCTGTGCTGGGTAAAGAGGCCAAGGGACAGCCCAGGGTGACTCTCCGCCTCTCTCCTCTCCTACAGGTCTGGTTCAAAAACCGCAGGGCTAAGTGGAGGAAACGGGAGAGGAACCAGCAGGCCGAGCTCTGCAAGAACAGCTTTGGAGCCCAGTTCAACGGACTGATGCAGCCCTATGACGACATGTATTCTAGCTATTCCTACAACAACTGGGCCACCAAAGGGCTCGCCACCAGCCCACTCTCGGCCAAGAGCTTCCCATTTTTCAACTCCATGAACGTCAGCCCCCTCTCCTCCCAGCCCATGTTCTCTCCACCCAGCTCCATCGCCTCAATGACCATGCCTTCGTCCATGGTCCCTTCTGCAGTGACTGGGGTCCCGGCCTCCAGCCTCAACAACCTGGGAAACATCAACAACCTGAACAGCCCGAGCCTCAACTCCGCCGTCTCATCCAGTGCCTGTCCTTACGCCTCCACAGCCAGCCCCTACATGTACAGGGACACATGCAACTCCAGCCTGGCAAGCCTGAGGCTGAAGGCCAAGCAGCACGCCAACTTCACTTACCCGGCGGTGCAGACGGCAGCTTCCAACCTGAGCCCTTGCCAATACGCTGTGGACAGGCCTGTATGAAGTGCTGCTCTCTCCTGACTGGGGACTTGACCTTAGCCTGACACAAGGAGACCTTTAGCCCTATAACAGCGTACATCCTGCAGAGTGAGAGTGGAAGTGAGAGAGAGCAAAAGAGCATGAGAGAGCGAGAGCGCACGGCAAGCAGGCAGATGGACCTCTACGAAGATTTGTCTAACTATCGTATGGTGAATTTTGACTGTCTTTCCCCTCCCAGTCTCCTTCCCTTCCTGGCCACCAAACACTTACCCTCCCTGTTGGTAAGGAAACCAAAACAGTCTGCTGGAAGCCCCATGGGGAAGCAGGAGCCCCAGCAGGCAGCATGTCTAGCCTGTGGGAAGCTGAGCTCAGCATATTTTGGCCTGGCCCCTCTAATCCCCCTTCCACAGCACAGCCGGGTGCCACCACAGTGGGATGCAGGGATGGGGTGACATGAGGCTGCTCTCCAGTGCTTGGCCAACCCTGTCCTTCTCCCCCCACAAACACAAGGGTTGGTGCAGAATATCTCACCCATCTGCTTATTAGGCAGCCAGTCATTGTCTTGGCTGATTGGCATCCAATGAGAGCACATCTATAGGCATGGCCTTTCAGATTTGAAGCTTTGAGGAACTGAGAGTTGTAAGGATAAGATATGTGCATGCATATATACCTATATATATACATACACATATATAGACCCATATATTAAAATACACCATTTTGTACAGGAAATAACCTGTGAAGTAGACCTTAAAAACAAAAACCCCATAAAGTAAGCATGTCCACCAAGGTGGTGTGCTGCCTGCCATGCTTCACTGCTCCACTCATTTCCAGTCAGACAGGAATACCTTTGCCAGTATACATCCAAAGCATCCCTTTCTGCAACAATCAGCTCCCCCTTGCACATCTCCATCCCTTCCTCAAATCCCATTTCAAAAAAAGGAAATAAAATAAAAGTTGGCACAGTCCCTCTAAGGCTCCTGCCTGCCTGGTTTTTGAGAGCATGACCCAGTGTCTGAAGATTCAAAAAGCAAGCACCAACATTGAGCCCAAGCCCAGGGTAGAAGCAGGCTGAGCACTCTGTGCTGAGGCGTCCCCATCACACTGTGGGCCGGTGCCTCTGAGTCCCTGCAGCACTCCTGGCTCCAAACAGCACTTCCAGAAGGGGCTGCAGATACCTGCCCACCCCCCTGGCCCGTGCTGTTTCTTTCAGGAAAGCTGTAAAACAGAGCTGCTCTCCTGGGAGGTGCATGCACAGCAGGACCTGTAGCTTCTGCCAATGCAGAGGGACACAGTGGGGTTCTCCATGAACTTAAGAAAGCTATGTAAGCAGTAGGTAGTGGGAAGTCCCCACTCACTGCAGTCTCCTTCCACATGGGGCACGTACTTCAGGGGCAAGCACAACATCAGCAAGACAAACCACTCCACATGGGTGAGTGGGACAGGCAAAAGTGGGACAAACCAGGTTTCTGCAGCATCGCCAGCACACACACAGAGGAAGCAAACTCTGTTAGGAAGGGATCCTTGCTAAGAGACAAAGAGTGTAGCCCCTTTTGTGCAGCATATAAACCACTCCATCTTTACCATAGCCTGCTGCACAGAGAGCAGCTGCTACTGAAGGTATTGGCAAGCAGATGCTGAAAGCCATCACAGATGTCAGTCCAACAACGCTATAGCTAAACTATGCTTTGCTCTGAGCTAAACCAAAATGAAGAATCCCTGCATTGAAGCAGCTACTGCTGAAGCACAACTCCACCTGCAATGCGCACGCAAAGATTGAGCATCAACATCTAAAGCACGTAGCACATCCAAAACAAGACTGAACTCTTACCTTGCTGCTAGATGCCAGTGATACTGAGGTTGCTTCTGTGCCTCCACTATGCACACATATTGTGCTCCCACACTGATTCCCTTGCCTGCCCTAGCTCTCCTCCCAGAGGAAGGAGCAGAAGTCCAGCCCCTCTCATTCCCTCTCCTCAGCTGACCCTGACCCCAGCTGTACCTAATCCCCACTGATAGCCACAGCTAGGTGCTGCCACAGCTCTCTCCAATGCTGCACCAAGGCACAGGGTCCTTCCCACAGCTGCCCCTTCCCTGTACTTCCAGCACCTCCCCCACCACCACCACGCTGACTTGAGTCAGGTGGGAATACAGCACAGCCAGAATCACCTCTTGTGCAGTCAGAGTGCAGCACCACAGAGTGCCCAGACCCAGCGGCAGCCATACACTAACTCTGAGCTGAGAGTGCTTTGTACAGTGGTACCAAACAACAAATGCATCCTGAGGAAACAAACAAACAAACAAACAAACAAACATAAAATGTGCAGACATCAGAGATGGTCAAAAACAAATAACAAATTGATCAAATTGGCAGCACTGAGCCTTAGGAGGGGTCTTGTGCCTTCCGGATACAACTTGCCCTCCTGGTGCAGCTGAGATCTGGCGCTCAGCCCCTCAGCACTTTCCTACCTGTGTCTCTGGTGCTGCTGCCCAAGCAGGCACATTCTAGAAGGCTCTTGCTTATTCTACAGGCTGTCACTGGACACTTCCCAGTCTGCAGATACAGCATGCACGTTTTCTCCTCCATCCAGATTGTTAATGGAAGCGTTGAACAAAACCAGCCTCGGGACAGATGTCCCTGAAATTCACTCACCATAACTCTTTCTTTCAGCAGTGAACTGCAGCTAACTCTCTGAGTTATCCAATGGGCTTTGCCCCCACCCAACATCCCACCTACATCACCTTTTAAAGCTCTCTCAAGAGCCTAGAATGTGACATAGTATCAAAGCCTCAAAAAAATCCACTTCAGTGGCAGCCAGGACTCTCCTTCCCCACGTCCTTATCTGCCATGGGAGCAAAGCAGATTATTTTGTCCGGGCTCTGGTCACTAGCAGGGCTTCTGCTACCCATCCCCTCTTCACTCTGCTTGCAGTGTGAATGGAACACTCTGGTGTCTTTGTGCCTGCTGAACCAGGTGTGAGGCATGCTGCTGCCACAAGCCAGCCAAGGCTCGGCTCTGCCAGAGCCCTTCCGTGGTGAGGGCAGCTGTGTACAGGGGCAAGAAGGCCTCAAGGTGGGGAGGGATCTGGGGAGCTGCAGGCAGTGGTGGAAACGCCCCACGGAGAGACAGAGCTCAGTGGTGCCGTGCTGTGGCTAAGCAAGCAGGATGCAGGGAGAAATTAGCGCTTCCCACACCACTCAGAACAAAGGCATCAAATACACAAACCCGCACACAACAGCGTTTATTTTAGTCATTTTCAGGCATCACCATTGCCATTTCCAGTACACCCAGAGAGGAGTTCTCAGACCCTTCTGCCTCCCACCCACAGGTCTGTCCCTTGGCAGGGTCCACAGGAACACCTGGTCTCACTCAGAGCCCAGGCAGCAGCTGTCCCAGTCAGCCTGCTCAGTGCTCTCATGGTAATAGCCACTGACATTTGTGTGATTCACTGTGTGACTGTAGGTGTAGCCTTATAGGAGGTGATGTTTGAACCTGTGTCAGCATGCCAAGCATTTACGGCAGATTGGGCTAGGCTAAATGCTTGGGCTCAGCTCAGAGGTCTGTGTTGCTTCTCAGTTGTACGTTCTGTGCTCTGCAAACAGTTGTGGAAAGAAGACTTGCTGCCACTCATTGCTTTCCTTGTATCAGCAGAGAGGGGTCTTCATCACCAGCAGAACCAAGAAAGACAGCAGATGAGCCAGAGCATGGCTCCTTCCCTCTCTACTTTGGCAGAGTGAGCCCAAAACTAGGCAGCATCATATGGGCCAGGAGCTGGACCAAAGGAATCTCCAGCTCTGACTGCCTCCCTCCTCCTTGCATTGCACATGGCAACCCATGCCTCACTCTGGCAAGTCCCCATTGGGAGGGAGACATGCTAAAGGCCAATGCACGAGTTAACCTGAAGGCTTTCATCCACATCCTCATCACCCCATATCTCATCGGGTGCCTGAGCTCCACCCAGAAATGAAAAGTTCCCCTTTCCCTCACCTGCCTCCCCCTTCCCAGCCTCCTCCTCCCTCCGCAGTTTTATTCTCCCTTCAGTTTCTGAGCGCTCGTCAGGTAAGACTTGGAGAAGAAGTTACAGAAGAGCACCAAATAACTGAGGTACATTAGCAATGAAAAGGAAATGTCAGGCCAAGTGCAAAGGCAGTCCTCATCCTCCTTCCAGAAGATAAGCAAGATGGACAGTATTACACCTATGGCCATCTGCAGAATCTGTGAAAAGGTGACTGCCATGGCAATCCAGCGGGGTAACCGAAAGCCCACTGCTCGCACGGTGTAGTAGAAGTACATGACTGTATGGATAGTGAGGTTTAGGGTGATGAACCAGCCGCCACCTGACAACATCTCCTTGTAGCAGTACCAGGTATAGATGAGCGTGAGAATGTGGTGATACCAGTGGAGGAATATGAGCTTCTGTTTCCGGAGAACAATGAACACGGTGTCACCTTGGTTGGAGGAGAGGTGCATCATCAGTCAGGCAAATCACAGAAATTATGCAAGCCTCCAGGTGAGACAGATGAGAGAGCTGTAATGCTAAAGTCATTACCTGGCTTGAGCCCACCAAGACTAGCTTCATGTCAAATTTACCCATATAGGCACCTGTGGTTCACAGGGGATAAACTTCCTACTGGCACCTTCAACCCTCTTTGTGTTGCTGCAAGCACTTCTGCTCCTAACAGACTTGACACTTGCCAATGGAAGTGTTGCCACAAACACTCCAACAGGCTCCTGCTCTAGGAAAGAAAGCTCTTGCAGGTTTGATGTGAGAAAACCCCATGGGGCTGCACAAGTGCCCCAGCACTCCCCCGTATGCTGCTGTCTTCCCACTGCAGAACAGCCTATTGGCTTGAGAAGGTGAAACCAGTGCAAGAACATGAGGCTGTACTCCTGCAGAGAGACTATGCATCATCTAGATTGAGAAACAGGAAGCAAGAAAAGTGAGTGATGTGCAAGGCAGAACAGTCCTATTCTGTGACAGAGACCTGTGAAGAAAAGCCTGCTCATAAAAGCAAAGGAGTTCTGAACACATTGCAAAAGGAGAGGTTTCAGACTCACCCAGTTCCAGGACTTTGCTCAGTGTAAATAAATAGACCCAAAGCTTGCAGACGGGGTCGACATAAAAGAGCTGATTGCACACTGACTGTTTAAATCCCACAGTAGTCAGCATGAAGACCATGTGCTTCCAGGTGCGATAGGTCCCAAAGGCACTGCAAGAAAACCAAAGGAGATCTGAAAGCTGTGTCCAGTTCACCCTCAGAAAGCTTCTTTGCTATCAGCTTGCACATTTCAAGACGTCTTCAAATAGACCATGAGCAGTCATTCCAAGCCAAGTTGTGCTCAAAGGCAGAGGTGCTCCTCTACAGTCAGAGCCTAGCAAGGCAGGAGGTTTGCTTTGTGCTCCCCCACCAGGCTGAAGACACATGGAGATGAGGGCAAAGTTGGCAATGTGAAGTCTACTTAATCACAGAGCACAGACTGCAGCTTTCTTGTGGTCTCTGTAGGAAACCAGTACCAAAAGACTAGACTGTTTAAAGCTGAGTATTCTAGATTGATCTTTATATCTTGCATGGCAAAATAAAATAAACAATCCAGAGCTAGAACTTGTCAGGTAGTGCCAGGCTAAGTTCTTACCTGAACAAGGCCAGCACCAGGGACCAGAGGGCCAGCGGCATGCGCAGATTGTAGCCTCTCCTCTCCTTCATTAAATATTGGATTCCAAAGATCAGAATCACATAAGCTACAGAAAAAAGGAAGGTATTATACCTGCAAGAAGAGAAGGAGCAGTTAGGGAAAGAGCCAGGCTGAGTTCCTCTTTGCAGTGGAGTTCTGCAGCCCCAGCAGAGCTCTCAACAAGAAATAAAAGAATAAAATATCGCCCATCCTTGTGTCAGGCTTGGGTTTGGTCACAGGAAGCATCTCCTGGCAGTGAGCGAGGAGAAATCCTGGGATCACAGGTGAGAACAGGAGCTGCTCCAGGAGGCAGGCCCCTGTGGGACAAGGACATGACAACCTGCAAGCAGGATCCTGAGCAGACAGGTTGATGTGTTTTGTTGCTTTGTGCACCTGTGCGTTGTGCAAAGGAACAAGTTGCAGTGCAGAGGCTGAGCGGGGCTGTCCCCCTACGGGCTCCACCGTGCAGTGGGATGAGAAAGCAGTGGGAAGAGAACCAAGCAGAGCAGAGGACGTGGAGCTGAAACACCAGCACACCTCTCAAACGCAGGGTGAGTGGCAGATTCCGATGGCCCAGTACAAAACCGAGCCCTCTACTGCCCTGCAGGAGCAGGTTCTGCAGCCCGGTGCCCTGGGATGAGGGTTCCGCCACTCTGGTGAGCGCACCGCAACGGAGCTCTCTGAGCAGGCGACCCCAAGCACTGCAGAGAGCCCTGCTCCACCTCCCAGCTGCTTGCCAAGAAAGCGCAGGAGGGCAAAAGAGATTTGCAACTATTCCAGGAGCTGTTACATAATCAAGCGTCTTTAAAAGCTAGTCCTTAGCAAAGAGCTGGGGCACATCTGCAGGAGCTAATCCTGCAATCGTTATACTGGGACAAGGATGAAGAGCAAAGCACCACCTGGTTTGGCCTCAGGCGTTACCGGAGCATAAGCGGCTGTTCAAACAAGCTGCAGTGACCTGACTTCAGCCCAGCGGTGTGTCAGCACCGAGGGGCTCCGGTGAAGGGGCCCGGGCTGCCGCCCTGCCCTTCCAGCCCTTTCCTCCTAGGAGCGGGGCACGTGCTCCGCTGGTCTCAGTCCTAACAAACCCCTGCCAGGGGCTCGGGAGCCCAGCCCCAGCCAGCAGACCCGCTGGCGAGCCACCCTCCGCGCAGCAGCGCCGCACATGCAGCCGGCGACTTGCTGAGACACACAGCCCTCCTCACTACAGGTCCGGGATTGTCCCCTCCCTGCTTTCCCCGCTCGCTACACGCCAGCCCGTCCCCTCAGACATTCGGTGCGCCGTCCCCCAGGGCCAAGTGCCGCCGTAACGACACACGGAGAAGAAGGGACTGGCTCCCAGCCCCGCCCAGGTCTCCCCTCGAGCCGCAGCTGCACCGGGCTCCTCGTGGCTGGGAGTCACCGCGTGTACAAGTGAAAAAAAGAAGTCAGAGAGGCTTGCTTCCTCTGGCTGAGAACAACTCCTTTTCTCCTGGCGCTCGGGAACCAAACAGTCTGTCCTCTGTGAAATACAAAATTGCACAAGAGCCAAACGTTGCTACAAAGAAGGTAGCAATTAGTATTTGTAGTCACAGAGAGTTAAGCTGAGAACACCTCGAGTAAACGCAAAGCCACCTTCTTGCTCCAAATTCGTTTAGGTAAGAACCACTCCTTTGCTCCAGAAGCTGAAAAGCAGTAGGAAGCCAGGGTGTAACGTGGACAGGTTCTGAGGAAAGTATAGCAAACCAGTTACATACTGGAAGAAAGAAGGCGACTCGTTGGGGTCTCCCCTGTAATGAGCGGGAAACACTGAGGAGGTGCATTTATTAAAGGTATGAGGGTAAGAAAACTGTGGGCAGCAATGAGAAAAGCAAGTGAGATCTGCCCCTTGCTCTTCAAGATGTAACTGAGCTCGGTGTATTTCTTTATTCAGCTGACTTCTGTGTGAATGCATAAGTGGATAAAGTGAGTTCTCTAAAGAGAAGCAGGAAGAAATAGCTTAAGCAAGAGCTCCATAGGAGAAGATGAGGCTACTCTCCAACATCATCTTTGAATCCAGTGGAGCAATTGCCCATCGAATAACATTTATGACTTCAAGCAACTGGGGATATTCTTGAGGAACAAGCTTGGCTATTCAGGCTGACGGTGCAGGTACCAAATTATTCAACAGCAGCAGTTTGCTGCAGGTTAGGGATTCAGCCTCACTGCAAACACAGGAGCTTGTGCTAGCAGACGATTTTCATTCTCACACCGCAGCTCGGTCAGATGGGGACATCTTCCAAAGCAGGTCAGGACCCACAGCCCCTTCCCCAGTAGTTTCGGGCCATAATTTCCACTTCTCCTTCCAGCCCTCCCGCCAGCCCCAGCTGCTCTGCCTCATCGCCGCACGGCCGCCGAGATGCCCCCCAGCCCCTCTCCCACGGCGTCGCGCCCAGCGCTCACCAGTTCTCCCGCATCCACCCGATCGCCTCCCGCTCGTTGAAGCTCTGCTCCATGTTCTCCATGGAGAACCCGCCGACGGGTTAAAGCCCAGCACCGCGCCGCACAATCCCGCAGCTGTCCGCACCGAGCCGAACCCAGGCACCGCCTCGGGACCGCCCCCGCCCGGCCGTCGTCGCCTGGGGCTGCTCGGCGGCGCGGAGAGGGGCACCTGCTGCTGGCAGCCCCCAACTTATGCAGATAAGTTTCGGGGTTAGTAGGCATAATGCGCTGAACACAGTACGCCTAGCTGTGCCTCCAGGCGCCGCTCCTCCAGGCTCCTGTGTTTCACCCAGGACTTCCACCTGGACACTCGTCACTGGGGCGGCCACCAGGCGCTCAGCTCTGTGCCGTGCGTACACCCCACCGGTAGCGTTTGCAGTCGAACACCACACAGACACGGAGCTCCAGGGCACCTGAGCCCTCTTCTCTCTGCCAGACACTCAAAGTCTTCACAATCTCTTAGACCGTTACCTGAAAACTGAAACATCATTTAAAACCACTAGGTTGCAAGACTCAGCATTTGCTCAGCAGGTGTAAAGGCAGGTTACATCTGTGCAACAGAGGGCTTGCTAAACTTCAATCTGTTGCACCCACAGAACTAACAATCAAGGATTTATCTGTCCAGAAACACAGCCAAAATAAGTCCTTACGATCAGTTCTTTCTTGCTTTCAAGAGCTGCTGATTCTAAATCACTGCAGTCTGCTGCTATGCTGCAGAGGTCAGGGCACTGGACGTAGCTGCTCTCTGCCCTGCTGTTGTCATCAACTTCTGCTCATGACCTCATGCCTTGGGGGAAAGCCAGTAACAGGAAAGAGCAGCACTTGGTCAGTGCTTGGATAACCAGCATCTTGGACAACCTTGTGCTATAACACACAGGCACTCTTCTCCTCTCTGTTGTTATCCCCGCCTCTTCCTCTTCTTCCCTGCCCGAGTGACAATTGCTTGCTTCTTGTCTCTTCCCAATTAAGAGATCGCCATTACCATGGAAGCGGACTTCAGATAACAAAGCATTTGTGAAAACTTGCTCAGTTAAAAAGAAGCTCAGGTCTTACTTCTAACTCATGGAGATACAAGAATAAAACTTGTGCATCAGAGAGGCCAACAGGTGGGTCTGTTGAAGGGTTTGCTTCTCACTTGTCAGAGTCCCAGCCACGTGTCACCTGCCCACTTATCAAGACTCAGTAGATCAGAGCCAAGCATCACCTTCCTGGTTCAAATGCCTTCTTCCCTGAGCTGGAAAACTCCAAGGTAAGATAATAATTTCATCTTCAACCAAGGCTCCATAAATAAAGTAGTAGGAAAGATCCTGCCTTTCCTTATAAGGCACAAACCACAATGGCTTTTGTTAAGAGGCTTCAAGCCTACTTCAACAGGGAGGTGCCTGTAACACTTGTAGAGAACAGCTGGGCAGAAAAGCCAGTCTTTTCTACAGAAAGGTTCAAAATAAGGTTTGGGCAGAAAAAAAAACCAAACCCACACAGCTGCTTCTTCTAACAGGAGGGAAACATTTGTCTGGATGACACATTTGCTCTCTGTTCTATTGGGCAGAAAGAGTCTGGCACAAGAATGAAAATCCCCCAGTTCATTTTGCACCACCCTGATTTACTCCCCTCTTCCCAAAGGACTTGCAGGTTATTTCAGGAAAGCCAGCTTACAGGTTTCTGATCAGCAGTGGTTTTGCCATACCATGAAGGAAAACAACCACTGCAGAGTCTCATCTCCCTCACCCCCATGCTCTCTTCCCTTCCTTCTCCTCTTGGTGCCCTTGGCAGAACTAAGCTATAACTCTCTGCTCAGCTGTCCTGCACTCTAATCTTTAGCAGCCCTAGTCAAATTCTACTAATTTTTATTTATTTTTTGAAGAAGGGAACATTACAGTTTCCACAGAAAAAGAACTTCTTGCCTGACCTGAAAGGACACAGCAGAGAACATTGTGCATCAACACACTGCAATCAGGGCCCATGCCAGAGCTCCCCCAGCCCTTACATTTCCTGCTCCACTTGGGCCACTCCAAGAAGCTGCCTGGGTTGAGTGTTGCCATCCTTTCCCTCTGGCAGCAGTGATCTCAGCCATCTTTAGTGGAGTGATGGTGATGCAGTGGTTTCTAAAGCAGCCTGCCTTTGAGCTGAAGAGGGAACATTACCAGATCCAGTCCTCTTGTATGTTTTGGTAACCATAAAATCATTAAGGTCAGAGAAGACCTCTAAGATCATCTAGTCCATCTAGTGCCCACTAACCACATCCCTCAGTGCCACATCTCCAAGTTTCTTGAATACTGCCGGGGGTGGTGACTCCACCACTTCCCTGGGCAGCCTGCACATTACCACTCTTTCTGAAATTTTTTCTTAATATACAACCAGAACATCCCCTGGCACAACTTGATGCCATTCCCTCTCATCCTATCACTGTTACCTGGAAGCAGAGACTGACTCTCACCTCACCACAACCTCTTTTCAGGGAGCTATAGAGAATGATAAGGTCTCCACTGAGCCTCCTCTTCTGCAGATTGAACAATCGCAGTTCCCTCTGCAATTCCCTTCTCTGAACCTGCTCCAGGACCTCAATGTCTTTCTTTGTAGTGTGTTCCTGAGGTGTGGCCTCACCAGAGCTGAGTACAGAGTATGATCACCTACACTCTTTCTGATACAAGACGGGATGCTAACATGGCCACCTGGGCACGCTGCTGGCTCGTGTTCAGCCAGCTGTCATTCAGCCAGCTGTCAATTAGCACTCCCAAGTAGCACTCTTTTCCTCTGAGTAGCTTGACAGCCACTGTCCCTAGCCTGTAGCAACACATGGGGTTGCTGTGACCAAAGTGCAGGACACAGCACTTGGGCTTGCTCATACAACTGGCCGCAGCCCATTGATCCAGGCTACCCAGATCCCTCCATAGGGCCTTCCTACTCCCTGGCAGATGGACACATCCCCCCAACTTGGTATCATCTGCAAACTTACTGAGGGTGCACTCAATCCCCTTGTCCAGATCATCAATAAAAATATTAAACAGTGCTGGTCCCAGTACTGACACCTGGGGACCACCACTTGTGACCAGTTGCCAGCTGGATTTAACTCTATTCAATACCACAGTCCGGGTCTGGCTTTCCAGCCAGTTTTCACCTGTCCAAGCCATAGGAACACCCTCTTCTCCAGGAATACTGTGGGAAACAAAATCCAAGTCTTTGCTGAAGTCTAGGTAGTCCCTAACATGTTGTGTGATTACATTCATGATGCAAAGGCTTGAGATTCTTATTGAACATACCATAAAATAGTACTAATTCAGCTATGAGCCAGAGATCTCCAAACAACCAATGCTTCTGCTTTCTGCCAAGGATTAAAACCAGCAATAAAATTACTTGCATAAGAGTGGCAGGACCAGATATTAGTATTTATTAGCTGGAAATAGACTCAACCCAACAGATTTAATTGCCTTGTGCCATCTTCCCAGCTCCCAGAAAGTAGGACTTTGGTGCCACAGCTTCTCATGTTCTTAGTGCTGCTCCTGCAGCATCTTCCTTGTCTAGGTCCTCCCATCTGTTAGAAAAACAGCTTGAGCTGCACACTGTGCACCCTGTTAAGGAGCATGATTCTGTTGGAACAAAACTGCTCAGAAAGCCAAGAAAAGTGGAGGAGGCTGACACAGTCTTGTCTCCCAAACACCCTTCACCAAAGCCAACAAATAAAAACTTCAGATCCATGTACTGTCCTGATAAAATATTCAGTAGAACAATTCAGTAGGATTTTCAGTAAATACAGATTTGTTCAGAGTTCACAAGGAAGAAACATGCAGTTAGGATCATTATAAGTAACTATACGTTATAGCTTTGCACTTGGTTGTGAAGACTTCTCAGGTTCTGGACTTAAATTATTATTTCATCTTTATAGATTAAATCCATGTTACCCAAGGTGAACAGAAATTATATATTTCATATGGACCTCTGAAGTTGCCACATTTTGGAGTAAATCAGGATCTAGCTCCCTTGTAAACGTTCCAGGAAGGCAAAATGAATGCAAGGCACATCATGCACTGCATGCAGTCACTGGCAGAAAACACTGAGAATTAATTCCTGAAACTCCCTCTAAACTAATTTCTTCTCCATCATCATTTGGTCCTGCTGTCCTTCCACAGGCCACAGTGACAGAAGATGTTGGAGAAATCACTCTGGGAGCAAGGCTAACATTCAACTGATGCCCACACAACCCTGCAGTGCTGATGTAAAATGAGTCCACCTGCAGCTCCGATTTAGAACGCAGGTATCCCAGCATCAGAGCCCAGGAGAGTATTGTCTGCAGCAAGGTCCTCTTTGGCCGTTAGAGGGGAGCAAAAGACCAGGAATGTACAGGGAGGCACAGCAAGCAAGAGCAGGCAGGAGGCTGCTCCTTCCTGAACCCTTCTCCCCTGGGAGCAGCAGGGATCTCAGGCCCAGGAAGAGGAGAGGATCCCTGCTCCCCGCAAGCAGACCCTCTCTGCCCTGCTTCCCCACTCTCTTTCTAGTGGCATTTCCTCACAAGTCACCCAAATGGGCTGATGCAGTGGGAGGTCCATACATCTTCTGCACAGTAACAGAGGAAGTAGTCCTTCCTTGCAGCTCCCTGCACAGTGCTGACCAGCAGGCACCACGAGACACAGCTCAACCTAAAGGTCTCCTTCCCATGGCAACACGCCACCGTAACAAGTAGCCCTCAGATCTGTATGTGGCCCTTACTGTGTTTTGGCATGGTTCTTCTGAAGAATGTGCACAATAACAACAAAGGTTGGAGATCTGAGAACAGTTTTGCAGAGAACTAGCCAAGTGTTGCCTCCTTGATACACATGTTCTCCAAGTAACTGTGGTGGGGAACACGCTGGGCTGGATTGCCTCCCCCTGCCATACCAGAGGCTGGACAAAACAATGCAGATCCACAGAATGGGAAGAGAAGGTTCAGCAGAAGGCACCATTTGGAGTCCTTACAAGTGCTCCAAGTTATTTCTTATTCCCTGACCTAGTTACTCCTACCACTGCAGAGCACTCCAAAATTAATGTCAAGGATAGCTCATCTCCTAAGGCTTAGACAAAAACGATGGTGACATCACTTAACCTAAAGATGCCATTATCTCTGCACAAATGCCATCAGAGCAGCTTCTCTGCTCCAAGTTAAGAGTTACAGGTTGCAAATCCCTCATGAAACACTGATTCTGAAAATCATCTCAAAGGAGTGCTCCTCCTGGTGGCATGGTAGTGGATACCATCTATGTTACTTTCTTTTTAAACCTGGTAGTAGTCTTGGTGGCACTTGTAATAGAGAGTAAGAAAAGCGAACTGAGTGAGCCAGGGGGATTTTGCCTGGAGTTGCTGTGCTTTTAAACTTCATTCTGGAAACAACAGCTGAATGCATCTTCAGAATCCAGAGAATCACAGAATCACCAAGGTTGGAAAGACCAACAAGATCATCCAGTCCAACCATCCACCTATCACCAATGGTTCTC